TCCAGACCCTGAGGGACTCCAGACCCTGAGGGACTCCAGACCCTGAGGGACTCCAGACCGAGGGACTCCAGACCCTGAGGGACTCCAGACCCTGAGGGACTCCAGACCCTGAGGGAATCCAGACCCCGAGGGAATCCAGACCCCGAGGGGTTCCAGACCCTGAGGGACTCCAGACCCTGAGGGACTCCAGACCGAGGAGCTCCAGACTCTGAGGGGTTCCAGACCCCGAGGGACTCCAGACCGAGGGGTTCCAGACCCTGAGGGACTCCAGACCGAGGAGCTCCAGACTCTGAGGGGCTCCAGACTCTGAGGGACTCCAGACCCTGAGGGACTCCAGACCCTGAGGGACTCCAGACCCTGAGGGAATCCAGACCCCGAGGGAATCCAGACTCTGAGGGAATCCAGACCCTGAGGGACTCCAGACCGAGGGGTTCCAGACCCTGAGGGACTCCAGACCGAGGGGCTCCAGACTCTGAGGGGTTCCAGACCCTGACGGACTCCAGACCGAGGGGCTCCAGACCCTGAGGGACTCCAGACCGAGGGGCTCCAGACCCCGTGGGGCTCCACCAGGACCTCGGTGGAGACAGGACGCAGAAGAAAAGTGGAAAACATGACTGAACGAAGATGCTCGGTGGTCTGAGTTTTACTGTAACAATCAGAGGTGAGCCCAGAACACCAGGATCTGTTAGTGACCTGATTCAGACCCGGACCGGGTCAAGACGTTACAGCACACCTGGTTCTGGACAGATGATGTCATCAAGGTTATGTGGTGCTGCTTTGTGGAGCCAGGTGTTATCCTGTGGCTGCTAACAGCTGCAGATCACAGGAACCATCAGAACCCTGCTTTACATCATTAAACCATCACTTCCTGTCTCCAAAATAAAACTACACATTCATGCAAACAATAATTTATTTTCTATTAAATCTGATTTTACCATAAAATATAAATTTCTTATAAATTCACAGAAACATTTTCACAGTTTCTTCATCATGACACCAGTTTACCCAGTTCACCACACCAATAATCAGTAGACACGTCACCACATTCACAGGAACTACAGTAACACAGCGTTGCCATAGAAACGCTCACATTCACTGGTCGTTAGGCTCTTACTGTTGCCGTGGCAACGGGATTTCCAGTGTTTCATTCATAAATAAATATTGACCCCTGATGGCTTTTATTGTGAAAATCTGACCCTTGTGCTTCCTGCCTAAAATGTAACAGCTGACAGCTCCTGCTGTGTTGTGATTGGACGCTCGCAGCCCCGCCCCTTTCCTTCTCAGCCCATCTGAACTCGGTAGGCGTTGATCTCCATCGGACGAAGCTGAACCCGGCGCTGCTGGGGGGCGGAGCCTGGCTCGTCGTGGTCACGCAGAAGAGTGAGACCTGAGCGCAGGAGCGAACGGAACCGGAGAGGAGCAAAAACATCCTCCAGGTCCACCTGGAGACAAACAAACAAACAAACAAACAAACAATAAACTAATCAAACAGACAAACAAACAAAATCAATCCAACAAACAGACAAACATGTCCTTGAAGAAGAAACAAACCAAACATCTGCTCACCTCCTCGTGCGCGCTCCACGTGCATGAGGGCAAAGGACTGGGGGTGGAGCTACAGTCAAAGCCCTTCCTGTGTAGGAGAAGAGCCACTTCCTTTGATGGACTTCCCACTTCCTGTTCACAAACAAACATTTATGTTTCAGTTACCCTCCGACAGAAACAGAGAGCTAAACAAAGGAGCCCCGCCCACTGAGGTCTGATCTACAGCCCCGCCCACTGAGGTCTGATCTACAGCCCCGCCCACTGAGGTCTGATCTACAGCCCCGCCCACTGAGGTCTGATCTACAGCCACTACAGAACTTCATTTCCTAAAAGAGGCGGGGCTTCCACGTTAGATCTCATTATCAGTAACAGAATTTACATTCCTACAACTTCCTGTCTGACCACAGGAAATGTGTCAGCGCTCACCTGTGGGTCCTCCAGGGTCCTCAGGTTCAGCAGGTGCACATCACATGGCAGAGACGAGCGCAGTGGCAGAAAGGGGCGGAGCTTCGGCAGCCGGCTCTGGGTGAACATGGTGATTGGCGGGTGGCAGAGGGATAGAGAGTCCAGGTGTGCGAGCAGAGACAGGTGCTCCACTGAGGCCCCTCCCACTTTCTGTCAGGAGAGAACAGATATAGAAATGTTTCCAACCAGGAGACAGAACCTGGTTCTGATCCTGGTCCACCTGCAGCAGGTAACCGTGGTGATGGGAGACTAATCATCATCATAGTATCTGATCTGACTTCATCCAGTCGTAAACACCTGTTTAAGTCTCTGAAAGTCTTATGCCCCGCCCCCTTTAGATTGCTTCACCTGAGCCCCGCCCTGCCGCTCCTCCAGCAGCAGGTGGTAGAGACTCGCCGTCAGCTTGTTGTCCATGACGCCCTGACCGAGGCCGCGGTTATCATCCTGCTGCAGCCGCCGGTCCAGAACCACCTCCAGCTCACCTGAACAGGTAGACAAGAGTCAGGTAAACACTGATGCTCCTCCTGGTGAGACACTGACAGGTGAGAAGACCAGAGCTCACCTGAGCGCAGAGAGGCCACGCCTTGGCTCTGAGCAGACAGCAGCGTCAGGCGAGTCCTGGAGTCCTGAAGGAACGAAGAAGAGCTCATCGGGTAAAAGTTGGCCTGCAGGGGCAACTTCTCCAGGGTCCGCCTCTGCTGCATCTGCATCAGCCAATCAGAATTCAGAGCCAAAGATCAGCTGAGGATCAGCCAAAGATCAGCCGTTCAACAGCCAAAGATCAGCCGTTCAACAGCCAAAGATCAGCCGTTCAACAGCCAAAGATCAGCCGTTCAACAGCCAAAGATCAGCCGTTCAACAACCAAAGATCAGC